CCAATGCCCATGTGAGATGCTGGTGTCACAAGTAGAGGCTTAACTTGCTATCCCCAAAGACATGTTTTTTTCATGAACTTTCTGAAGATCCTGTGAGTTAGGATTTTTCTTTTGCACCAACATTGTCCTGTTTTAATTTCATTTTTCCATGAGCTTTTTAAAGTTGCCACATGTTTGGCAACTGCCTGGATCAGCTATCCGATTTATCACTATGCCATTCTTCTACCTGATGTCGTAAAACCAGTCTCTCCGGGCAGGAGGATGTGCGTGTAATTCCCTGCACAGCTTTGGACTTTAGCGTTCTCAGTCTCTCAAACACTTTTATGAGTCCCAGGTTCTTTTATGGATTGACAAACAGAACTTGTTGATTTAGGTCTGAAAAATTGGACTTTAAAAGCTCATTAAAGTTATTCAAAAAGCATTTTTTAAAATTCAGTCTATGATAAATATAAATGAACTCAGCCAAAGGGATTAGATTTTCCTTAAACCTATATGTGGGCTCAACACATTCAGAAGAGTCTCTGGGAGAAGATACATTGGTGAATTAGAAAGTTATTAAGGAAAATTTGAAAGATTGTATGATCACCCTCATTTCACTCATTCAATAAAGCAAATTAGGAACGTGCCAGCTGTCTAGGGGACATTCTACCAGCACAAGCATCTCAGAGTTTAGTAATTCTTAATCATTTCAGTGGAGAGTTTTACAAATTCAGGGAAGGAGTTCAGTGCCGCGGCCTAGGTCTAAATCTCTCACCTTGCATGTGCTGGGATCCCAAATGGTACCAGTTTGTATCCCGGCTGCTCCACTACCCATCCAGCTCCCTGCCTGTGGTCTGGGAAAGCAATCGAGGACAGCCCAAAGCCTTGAGACCCTGCACCTGCATTGGAGACCTAGAAGAAGCTCCTGGCTCCTGGCTTTGCATCGGCTAAGCTCCCTCCAGCTATTGTGGCCACTTGGGGAGTGAATCAGAGAGTGGAATATCTTTCTCTCTGTATCTCCTCCTCTCTGTAAAATTGCTTTTCCAATAAAAATAAATTAAGGAAAAAAATAGGTCAAAGCATTTGGTCTAGCAGTTAGGACTCTGGTTTAGACTACCAGCATCTCATAGTAGGTTTCCCAGGTTCAGTAACCATGCACAGCTCCTGACTGCACAGCTACAGACCCTGGAAAGCAGCAGTGACGGCTGAAGCGATTTTGAGCTTGTCACCTATGTGGGACATCTAGGTTGAGCTTCTGACTTTCAGCTCTGGCCCAGGCCAGACCAGCCATTGTGGGTATTCAGAGTGAAGCAAAGGATGAAAATGTTCTCTCTTTCCCTCCCTAGCTCCTTCCCTCCCTGCTTCCACACATATTTTCTCTCCACATTCTTTCTGTCTCTAGTAAGTAACTTTTAAAAATTCACCAGGATTGGCCATGTAATAAAATGAGTTAGGTCATAACCTACCACACCACCATCCTATATGTTGCTGGTTCAAATCCTGGCTGTTGTACTTCTGATCCAACTCCTTGATAATGCACCTGGGAGAGCCACAGAAGAAGATGGATCAAGTCCTTGGGCACTGCACCCATGTGGGCAACTCCTATAGAATACCAGGCTCCTGGCTCCAATCTGGCTCAGCCCTGGTTGTTGCGGCCATTTGGGGAGTGAACCAGTGGGATGGGAGATATCCCTCTCTTTGTCTTTCCTCTTGTCCATAACTCTTTCAAAGAAACAAATCATTTTAAAGATTAATAATCATATCACAGATTTGCTTTGACTAAGAATACCCTAAACTGTGAACCAGGTTAACTACCATTTCAATTCCTACTGCTGTTGCCAGCTAGATCACTCCATGGACCTCCTTCGGTGGGCCTTGCCATGTGCCAGGGAGTTTGTCCATGTTGTTTTGAAAAACAACCATCCTTACAGAGGAAAAAAGCAGAGGATGAAGCTGTCCCCCAAATCACATAAACTGGCAGAAATGCAGGTTGTGACCCCTGAAGGGAATAGCTGCTGTCCAGCACACCTCCCAGCTGTGATCAGGCGAGTGTAGGTGCTTTTCTGAACTCTTCTCTTCTGGCCAAGGTGATAAAACAGAAGGGGAGCTATGGCTGTGTTGGGATGCTCAAACCCATATTGGAAGGTCTGGGCTCTAGTGTCACTTCTGCTTCCCATACAGGTTCCCATCCATGCGCCCCCAAGCATGAGTCCTTACCAGTGACAGGGGAGATCCCGACTGAGTTCCAGGTGCTGAGTTTTTATTTTTCTTTCTTTCTTTTAAATTTTTATTTTTACTTTTGTGAAAGGTGAAGAGAGCAAGAGACAGATCTCCCATCCTCTAGTTTATGATTATTTTTAATGAACTGATATAAGAACCTGATAGAGGAAATGACTAATCATGAATATTAATGTTTCATTTTTGGTATTTTACCAAGTAACATTTAGTTTTTAAAAGTTGAGCTCCAAGGCATATCTCATTTTATTGTGCTTTTTAGATGTTGCGTTTTTCCCACATTCACAGTTTGTGGCGGCCCTGTGTCAAACATATCTGTATGTGTCGTTTTTCCAACAGCAGAGACCTACCTGTGTCTCTTTGTCATATACCAGTAATTATTAAACATTTTAAACATCTTCATTGTTATTATATCCATTTTAATGATCTGTGATGTGTGATGTTAATATTGTAATTGTTTTGGGCTGCCATGAATTACATCCATACAAAGTTACTCTAAATGTGTGTGTTCTAACTGCCCCAGTCACCACCTGTTCATTCTTATATTCTTTTTTCCTTTTATCTTCCTCCCTCCCTCTCTTCCTTCTTTCTCTCTCTCCCTTCTTCCCTTGCTCCCTCTCTCTCTCCCCCATCTCTTCTTGCTCCTCTTCTGTCGTCTTGGATCCCCCTGTTCTCTGAGTTCCGATTTTGAAATTGGACCAAGCGCATCACTACAAAAGCTTCTCATTGTTCAAGTGAAATAAAAGAATCACCTTAAATCTCAAGGGAGAAGCAGCTGCTTCGGGAAGTGGATGTGCTGATGATCACGGTGGGCCAAAGGCTAGGCCTCTTGTGCTGTGTAAGATGTGACTGCAGCTGCAGAGTTCTTGAAAAGTGAAAGTGCTAGCCATTACTGAACGCATGAACGATAAAGTGAAATAGTCTTATTGCTAATACAGAGAAAGTGTTAAAGGTCTAGACAAAAGATCAAACCAGCCACAATGTTCCCGTAAGTCAAAGCCTAGTACAGGGCAGAGCCTTCCATGTCTTCAGTTCCATGAGGCCTTAGAGTGGTGATGAGGCTGCAGAAAATGTGGAACTAGCAGAGCTTGGTTCATGAAGTTGAAGGAAAGAAACCACCTACAAAACAAGGGACATGAGGGGAGGAGGCATGTGCTGATGGAGAAGTTGCAGAAACTCGTCCCAGTGATGTCGCTGAGGTCATTACTAAAATGTTCAGGGTAAAAAAAATGAGCCTTATATTTGAGGATGTTATCTAGGACATTCCTTGCTGGGGAGGGGAGTCACTGCCAAGGGCAAAGCTTGGACGCGCAGGCTGCTGCAGCTGGTGGAAGCCAGTACTCACTACCGCTGTGAAAAGCCCAGGACCCTCAAGAATTAGATTCTACTTCCCCGTGTCCTGTAACTGGAACAGCAAGGCCAGGGTGGCAGTGTGTCTGCTTACAACATGGTTTACTGAGCAATGTAAGCCTTCCGCTTAGCAAAGTACTCTTCTCCAAGTGTTACTGCTCTGATGGTGATGTACAAGGAGATGACCACAGTTTTCATGCCTGTTAACCAGCGTTCATTCTGTGGCCCTTGCTCCAAGGAGTAACTTTCATTTCCATCTCTTATGACTTGAGAAATAACTTTTTGCAAGGATATAGCTGCCATGAATGGTTCTTCCTCTGACAGATCTGGGAAAAGTAAATGAAAACTTCCTGGAAAGGCTCCATCAGTCCAGATGCTATTAAGAACATTTTAAAAGGATATCAGCATATCGGCAGCAAAAGCAGTCTTGAATAAGTTGATTCAAAAGCTCATGGATGACTGCAGGTCCATGACTTAAGTGGAGTAAGTGGCTGCAACTGCTGAGAAAAGACCAAGAGAACTGGGACTAGAGCAGGATACCACAGGCCCGGCGCTAGGCCACCGTACGGGCCCCCTAGTATATGTTATTGCACGTGTTTTAAAACTTGACGTAGTAATGACATATTATGAATATTTTTTTGCAGCTTGCATCACTCATGTGTTTTTGCTTGTAAGGAACAGTTACACACACACACGAATACAGACATCTTCCATCTGCTGGTTCACTCCCTAAATAGCCGAATCACAGTATCTGCTTTACCTGTTTGCCACCAATGCCGGCCCCTCGTCATTGTGTGTTTAGATGATGTAGCTTTAGTTCATTAATTTTTAGCTGTGATATAACTTTGTCTTCTGTAAATAAACTATGATTTATTTACTCATTCCTGTAATGATATATGGCTAAATAAACTGTAACTTTTGCAAAGAGTTCTGTTTAAGTTTCTTTAACCTCTAAGAAATTACAGCAGGCTACAAACATTGTCCAAGGCGCTGGTGCGTGTGTACGCATGTTCCGTCCAGCAGTACTCTGTATTTCTTTGTTCTCTGTAGTGTTCTAGGTGTCTCCCTGATGTCATTTGTATAGCACATTCTCAAGAGTTGGGATCATTGAAAGTGGTTCCCTCTGGATATCACAAAATGGGCTACTGCATTTCATAAACTTCAAGGAACTGCTTCACTATTTAGTCATATCTAAAAGTTGATGAAAATAAAACTGGATTAGGACTGACATTGTGGTGTAGCAGGGAGAGCCACCACCTGCAATACCGGCATCTTGCATGAGCACCAGTTTGAGTTCCAGCAGAATGGAAGAGGGAATTGATAGGTTATGTTAGAAGCAAAACAAGTGGCCTACCAGCAGCCTTGCCAGCTGGAGGCCGTATGTCTTTATTAGGTGTGGCTCTCTGGCTTAGGTAACGTTCTTATTTCTTCTGCAGAATGGCCCATGACCGAGTACTGGCCCTGTCACGAGTCTGCATCCCACTTATTACGCTGCCGGATTTTGAACCCCTGGTAGAGGCCTTGCTTGTCTACCATGGACATGAACCTCAGGAAGTCCTCTGTCCTGAATTCCTGGAAGCTGTAAATGAAGCCTATTTAGAGTAAGTGATGTCCTTTTATCCTGTCATTCAACATGTTTTCTTGGGGTGTTTCTACAGCGTTAATGTTGTCCGTTTTCAAACTTGTTGACCTCAGTACTTTTTTACACTTTTAAAATGTATCTCAAATTATATTTTTGTTTAGGTGGACTATACATAACTATCAAGATTTACCATATTCAAAGTTAAAGACTTTTTAAAATGTGTATTATTTCATTTAAAAATATGCATTACTTGTTAACATAAATAATATGTTTTTTTGAAAAGCAATGATTCTCCAAGGCAAAAAAAAAAATCACTGTCTGACCAGATGGTATTGCTTTTACATTTAAAAAAAAAAAAGCCCTCCTTGTCTGCCTGAGGCAGCTGGATTCCTGCGTCTGAATGGGGTTTTCTGTCTGGCAGGATATATTGTTTCGGTGAAAGCATCTAAAGAAATCTAGCCTCCCCGAGCAGGACAAGGCAGGCGTGATCTAGCCTCATGTCAAATAATTGTGGGTCACCTGCCTTGACACCTCACCAGAATGTGAAGATGGTCGGGTTTTACAGGCTGGCTGCTGTGGTGCTTCATCCTCTAGTAGCTGAGCACATCAGCCTGCCCTGTGCTCCTGAGGCATTTCTTTGCTCGTGCGTGACTTTGTAACATCCTGCCTAGTTCATGTGGAGAATCTTAGTCCCTGAGTGATGCAGTTCTTCAAAACATTGCTATATTGCTTTATGTTTGGATCTGTCGCCACCAATCTCCTCTGGGATATCTTTTAAATATTACAGAGCTGGCAACCTCATGTAAGTGGACATGAATTTTTCAAGATTTTTAATTTCTCCCTAAAAGCCAAATGTATAATGGGTCGCCAATAATATCATTTCTGTTTTAGGTAAACCTTGTCACTCTGCTAGAAAAAGTATACATGCCTAAATATGATAACTTGTCTGCTAAGTCACTGATTTAATTGTTTTCAGTTTTGAAGCACAAGTGATAATTGCCATGCAGGATATATATTTTTAAACGTTTGTTTATTTATTTGAAAGGGAGAGAGCCAGAGACAGCCACCCTCCATGTATTGGGTCACTGCTACAAATGGCTACAACATGAGGCTAGGAACCAAAAACTCCATCTGGGCCTCCCACCTGAGGCCCAGGGACACAGGGAATTTGGACTGTTCTCTGCTGTCTTCCCAGGCACCTTAACAGAAAGACAGGTGGAAAGCCAATTAAGCCAAAGTTTGACCCAGCATTCGGCTATGGAGTGCTAGTGGCACAAATGGCAGCTTAGCCCTCTGCGTCACAGCACTGCTCCCCCAGAATATATTGTTAAAAGCACACTGTACTCCAGGGTGTCTGCTCTGCACAGTCAGTGTCTTCTACCGTCTCCTTAGACATTCGACGTGAGAACAGTGCTAGCCCATGGGTATACAGCAGTGAGGAAAACAAATGTACCTGTTCCCATTGGTGATTTCTTTTTTTAAAGATTATTTTTTTATTGGAAAGGCGGATATACAGAGAGGAGAGACAGGAAGATCTTCCGACCGGTGATTTACTCCCCAAGTGGCTGCAACGGCCAGTGCTATGCCAATCTGAAGCCAGGAGCTTCCTCCGGGTCTCCCACATGAGTGCAGGGTCCCGAGGCTCTCGGCCATCCTCGACTGCTTTCCCAGGCCACAAGCAGGGAGCCGGATGGGAAGTGGGGCCGCGAGGATTAGAACCGGTGCCCAGAAGGGATCCCGGCACGTTCAAGGCAAGGACCTTAACTACTATACTATCACACTGGGCCCTCTATTTTTTAAAGGTTTATTAATTTTTTTTTACTACTATCAAGATTTACAGAGAGAAGGAGAGACAGAGAGAAAGATCTTCCGTTCACTGGTTTGCTCCCCAAGTGGCCTCAAAGGCTGGACCTGAGCTGATCAGAAGCCAGGAACTTCCCCCAGGTCTGCAAGTCAGGTGCAGGGTCCCAAGGCTTTGGGCTGTCCTCTACTACTTTTCCAGGTCACAAGCAGTGAGCTGAAAGGGAAGTAGAGCAGCAGGGATACGAACCGGCGCCCATATGGGATCCCAGCACTTGAAGGGCAAGGTTTTGACCACTAGGCTATTATGCCAAGCCCACATCTGTGATTTCTATGAGGCCCAGAAGTACCCACTTATTTTTGTATGAGCAGAGCAAACATCAGCACAGTTGTTTCAGGAAAATCCATGAGATTCAAAATAGTTATTCAGTACTTAAAGTATTTCTGTACCAGCCATGTGTGTGGTCACGTTTCATATAAAAGATCTTCTGTGATTAGTTGTTGCTCTTACTAGACAGCTATAAGGAACACAGCAAGTCTTAGTAATTTATCACACATATTTACACCATCTAACTCCTTTTGGTTCAGATTGTGCATTCTTGGTCTTAAGTTGATAACATTATGTCTGCAAGCCCAGGGGAGGATAACCCTGGTATTTGTAAAACATATATATGTTGAGAGATAGAAAGAAACAGAAAGGAGAAACACGGCGAGAGGTGCTTTCACCTGCTCATTCACTCTGCGAATGTCTGCCTCCTGCAGCTGGGGCTGGGCCCAGGCTGATGCTGGGAGCCCGAAACCCTGTCTGCTGCAGTGTGTTTCAGCAGGAAGCCAAAGCCCGGAGCAGAGCTGGCACTGGAACCCAGGCACTCTGACAGTGGATGGGACTGTCGCAAGAGGTGTCTTAACCAGGAAGCTAAATGCCCACCCCACTCCCACCCCCTGCCTCAAACTGTTGCCTTAGGAGTTGGAGAATTCTCTGAAATGTTGTCACTTTCATCTTTTCTAGTGATTGTTTACATTTGTGCGTTTGAAACATACTTTTTAAGAAGTTAGCAAAGTGACCCAGCTTATCAAAAAAAAAAAAAAAGTGGCAGTTGAGGAATGAGAAAGTCCTCTTTGAAGGCAGAGCTCGTACAGGAGGCGTTTGGTGTAGGGTTAGTGGTTAGGATGTGGCTGGCATGTCTTTATCCCCTCTGGGCCTGGGGTCCAGCCCCGACTCCACCTGCAGCATACTGCAGCACACACCTGAGAGGCAGCAGGTCCAATATTCGGATCCCTGCCACCCAATGAAGACCCAGCCCTGGCTGTGGGAGCACTAGGGAGGTGAAACAGCAGATGACAGATTTCTCTGTGCCCTTCAAATACATAAGCCAAATAAAAAGTTAAAAGCAAATAATGAGGTTGTTTGTATTTGCAGGTTACAGAGCATTTCCACCATCTTGAGTATGTCACGAGTGGGAGCACCTCATGACAAGCTGGCCTGTATCTAAGGCACTACCTTGATCGTAGACTCGATTTTTACACCATTGAGCCTATTTTCTTATTTTCTGTTCTGGTTCTTTGATCTTTTATATGTTCATGAATCACTACCATGGTGTTTAAATGGTAGAATCTAATTCTCTTCTCTTTTTCCATTTTCATTGTTACTACTTGTTGCATCTTTCAAATAAGCTTTGCAATCAGTTTGTCTAGCTCCAGGAACGATGGCTAAAGTGATATGTGAGAAGATTCGTGCTAGGTATAAATGAACTCCAGGAGAGCTGGCATTTTGATAAGGTTAATCCCCTCTGCCCACCTGCCCAAGAGTGCATGCGTGTGCATCCGTGCAGGGTTACATCTGTAATCTTCAAGGGGTGTTTGCTGTCTTCTCCACCCGTGGGCTCCAGGCAGTCGTACTCCTAAGGGCTTGCTGTATCCTCGTTTTGGATTTCTTGGCTCTCCCGGTGAGCCCTCTCTGTCTTCAGATGAATTCTCATGGATTATAGCTTTTGGAAAACGAGCAAGTTGAAACTGCCGATGGTCTTCCAGTGAGTTCAGAGGAGGTAATTCCTAGTAGAGCGTTTCCTATTTTCAGATGTAACTCTTGGAAATAAGAACGCATACTTTAATTTCATTATATATGGACGGTTATGATCCTGGTCTTTGTTAAAGTAAGGGTTAGGCATAGAAATAGAAGATTAAAATACTTCATATTTTCCAAGAAGATTAGAACACAATTTTCATGGTTGAAATAATCCCTCTGTCAAAATGTACTCAAAACTGAATTTCCTAAGGAGTTTGCTCAGTTATCTTTCTGTTTCTGTGAGATACTGAGTAATAAAAACCGATGGACCAGTTCATACATTGACCTGAGCGCACACTCCAGGGCTGTCATTTCTCACCCACCACAGCAGTCGTACAGAATCCCGACTTTTCAGTTGAATGTTCGCGCCCTTGCCTGTTTCTGCCCACATCTGACTTCTCTGGGGATGCATCCCCCCGCCCCCCGCCGATGGAATCCACTCTTAGCTGCCCTGTGTGTCCCATCTCACTCTTCCCACTAGAGTTGCGTTCAGGGGAGACTGGAGGACAGGGTCTTTGGCGGCGGGAGCAGCCCTAAAGCACTGCTTCTGACAGGGCTGGGCTCTGCGAGGACTGCCTGTCCCCCGGCTGCCCAGGGCAGGGCTCCACACACACGCCTGCACTCCCTGGCTCTGGCTTTTACTTGTGATAGCATGTTCTCCCTCAACAACTAATAAAATTTATTTGGTTTGGAAAATGATGTCTGCTAATCCATAGGGAACAGCCTGTCCAGATGCTGGGTGGTCTTCATTGTGTCCAATTCCTGTGGCTTCGGCTCAGCAAGTTCCCCAGGCAGTGGCGTCAGGGCTGGAGCCCTTCCATGGACACTTTCCCATGGACGGAGCGTCCCAGCCACATGTTGACATGGGGAGGCTCGCTCGGTCAGTCAGAGCAGATGACCACCCCCACGCCAGGCCCCTTCCCCAGCGTGCTGCCTGGGCCTTTAGAAACCACAGGCTTTCTTTGACCAACATGCCCTGCCCTGCGCAGAGCCTTCCAACTATGTGCTTACCGCAATACACCAGTGGAATTTTGTCTGTTTTATAATTGGCTGGTGTCTTTGGTCTTGGCTTCCAGATCCAGTCATGTACTTTCAGAAATGGGCTGCCTGTCTTCTCAAACAGCAGATGCTCGCTCCCCCTCCTTCTCCCACAC